ATACATGTTATAAAATATAGTGTGTATGCCTTTGTTAGCCTGTCAGATGCTGTGGTGTTGGTCTGTGTCTTACAGTAATATTTATCTTTATTTCTAAACCACAGATTCAAATAGTGAATGTGGAAAAAGTGATGACAGAACTGTACTTATGCTTAGAACTGCCAGGCTGCAAAATGTATCATATATACACCATTAAAAATAACGGAACATTTAACTTGTGCACCTCAGTTTCCAGCAACATAATATGGGTTTGACTGAAAGTCTATAGTGACACACATAGTTTTAGTTAGCTGATAATTTACCCCGGAGAGACTATCAGTGTATAATGATTCACTCAGAAATAGTGGTGCAGATCAAGCAGTGACAACGAGGTTACTTGTACAGGTTACAGTATGAATTGTGTCAATACAGAATGAGAGTCACACATGTGCAAAAAGGTCCGCCATTTTGGACAGCTACCTACTGCACCATACACCACTTGGACAAACCACATCTCACAATGTGAGTTTCAACCATAGATGTGAGTCGCGCATGCATTATTGAATTAAAAATGATTATGTCTCCTTCATTCTCTCTGATCCCAGCCGGTCGCAGCAGATGGCCACCCACCTAGAGAAGATCTGGTACAAATAAATACTTAAATGTGTTTTTTTCTGAGTTGTCTTGTTTCCTCCTCCATCACTGACGTAAATTTGATAAAACACTGGTAAGTCAGGTCAGTCAGTGAAACCTGCAGTTGTTTTAGTAAGAAAGTAAGTTGTTCTTCTAATAGTGTGTAATGCTGCAGGGAATCAGAGGCTGCAGACCAGAGCTGAAAAAATAAAATAAATTTCACAACAGCAGGTAGAGCTGACCCTACAAACCTCTGGCCACATTCACCATGAGGAAAAATGACATTACTTGTATTTTTTAGAAATAAAGTTCATTAGGATGTGTGACTTTTAAATCTGATTACGTGGTTAGTTGTTGGATTGACCTTATTTTAACACAGATTCAACAAGCCTTCACTGGTAGTAGTGATAAAGCAGTCAAAAGTCATCGTTTTGCATTTTTGCGTTTTCTCACAAATTGCCATTGAGTTGGTGGTTTGGTTAACTGTTTAAGATGGCAGACCTTTTCGCACATGCATGACGTTGTCTATTGACAAAAGCCCCTTTTACACTGCATGATTTTCGGTGGATGTTGGGCCATTTTGCCGGCAAGCTGCGAGCGTTTAGACACACAGAGCCGGATTGGCGAGTTGATCCGAGATGCCCAATTTTCCGCCTCGTAGGGTAGACATATTGGCGGAACCTTTTTAGTTTAAACAGACCGAGGCGGCCTTCCGCAACGGGAGGGGCTGTTGAAGACTTGTGGGAGGAGCTCTTGATGACGCTGCACGTGCGACCCACTGGCGGTGGATAAACAGGAAACAGCTGACAGCAGGAATTAGCAAGCAGATAGTAGCAAGAGGGAAATGCAAACCTGACAGACACTGTAAAGATGAGCAACTGGGGAGACAAAGAATTGCGCGCCCTCCTTGCCCTCACAACGAAGAGGCCATTAACCATCAGATGACGGGAACGGTGAAGGACAGGCCGACTTACGAGAGAATCGCCGAAGGACTGACCAGCCACGGCTTCCCTCCCACGTCACTGTTTACATCACACGCTGAGCTACACATTTTGTTACTTGCTCACGCCCCCCATTGCCCCGAAAAAGGCGCATTCTGTATGAACAAAAGTAGGCAGGGGGCATTTTGCTGGACTCCCCAATTTTGTTTTTATACTGCCAATGCTGAAAAAAGACTGATTGGGCTTTCCTGCGAATTTGCACAATTCCTATCTAAAAAGGGCTAATGTGTATTGACAAAGTCTGTAGGAGGGGCTTAAGGCCCAGACACTCCAAACCAACATCAAAGAACTAGTGGGGATGAGGGCCGACTGTGTCTCGAGGGTGGGGTGGCAGAGCCAGCGAAAAATGCATCATCCCGCAGATTTAAGCTGGGAGATGAGTAGGGTGATTTTGGCGCTGGTGAAATGTAGGGAAGTTTAAAGTTCATTTACACATATACTACCCACATTGTTACGATAAAAAACCTGTTTTCATCCCAGCTCATCACATATCACCACTTGGTCAGTGCCCTTTCAGTCTACATATTACACGCTAGCTATCTTCCTGGGTTTGTTGTTGAGGTTTCAGGACGGCGCATCAATTTACACTGTGCAACACAAGCATGTGGTTGGGTTTAGAAAAAACATCGTGGTTTGGCAATCACTGGCCTCCTGACTGAAAGTGCAGGGTTTGTTGGACACATCTACCGCCCCTCCTGCCCACCCTATAGGGACTTTCCACGTCCTTATATTACGTCATCATCAGCAGTGTTTCAAACGAACACTGTCCAGCGGCGTATCATACAGCTGTGACAGGTGCCGCCTGGCTGCTTTATTAACTGATACCACCTGTCTGCGTCTCATATTGCTGTGAGAGGTGCCGTATGGACAACCAACAGCGTATCATACCACCATGACAGGTGCCGTTTCCCTTTAAGTGAACAATTTAAAAACATATAATATTAAAACAATAAATGCTGTAACATGTCTAACCACAATACTTTACATACATAGTATCTGTTAGCAGTTTGACTTTACTTACCACTTTACTTAAAAGTCTTTACTGATGCACAACCCACTTAACAGCTATATATTATACGGATTGCGTGTGTGAAGTGACAGGGACTGTGACTCTGTGGTGCTCGAGGAGCTGGCCAGACATCGCCTGGACACCGTGTCATGCCACTAAGGGCCTGCCAACTGACCTGTTTGTGTGTGTGAGTGTGTGTGTGTGTGTGTGTGCGTGTGTGTGTGAACCCATCATGTGAGGTTACACGACGCTCCTGCCAATCCTCTATTTTATGTGTGTGTGTGTGTAGATGTCTGTTCAAGTGTGTACCAGCAAAGTGGTTCCAGGATCCCCCTCATTGCTTCATAATGTCTGCGTGCATGTGTGTGTTCATGCTGGTAATGAATGTGTGTCTGTGCTGGCGGTCAAGGAGGGCGCCTGGGAGGACTGGTGTTTGATTGGCGCGTGCTGCCGAGATCTGCTCCTTCCTGTTAGCGTACGCATCACTTCCTCTCACCCTGCCCAGAGCTACTGCCTCGCCGTCTCACACAATCACTCTGACACGATTCCCTCTCTTCTCCTTATTTTTCTGCGTCTTCTCTCTCTCTCTGTTGTTCTCCTCTCGTGACTCGCTGTCCATCTTATTTTGTCTTTTCGTTGTCCTACTCCTCTCTCTTGAAGCGCCTCCTGCATCTCTGCTCCCATTTCATTCTTTATTGGCTTTTTTACTTTTTCCACTTAGTCTTATTCCTCTGTCTTTCCATTTTAGGTCCACTAGTGCTTCTTTCCCCCCGAGTCTTTGTCCATTTGTCTCTCTCTGCTCTCCCCTTTTACCTCTCAGAGGACCACTTTTATTTTAACAACTTGACAGCCAGTTCATCATCCTCGATGAAGTATTTCCTCACCTCTCGCTCCCCGCCTCTCTTGCCTTCAACCCCTCAAATGTCTTCCTCTCCCTAACCTCTTTCTCTTTCCGTATCTGCTCTGTATTCAATCCTTAAGCAACCCCCTTCCTCCTGATCCTCCCCCTCTTCCTCACCCTGTTCCTCTCCTCCTCCTCAGCTGCTCTCCCTGAAGACAGAGCAGATGCAGCCAGGCAGAACAGCCAGCATGTTCCCATGTTCTCTTACTGCAGCAGCCCTCTTAAACCTCTCCGTTTCTCTCCCCATCACCCCATTATTCTCCCCCATGCTTCATTTTCCTCAGCACACATTGTGTTTTTTGGCATCTCCATTCTTACATTTGAATTTTTTCTCTTTGCTACACTTCCTCATTTTCCATTCATCCACTTTCCTTCTTTCCTTCTCCTTACTCTTCACTTGCCTCGAGGCTTTATCCCTGGTCCTTGCATCTCTCCCTCTATCCCCCTTCAAAGCTAAACATTGCTCGAGGCCATTCTTGTCTCTCTCTTCCTCAAGCCCTCTTCCCTACTCTCATTCCCCCCGTGTTTCTACCACTAACAGAATGGCTTCTCTGCCTCCTTCTCTCTTTGCTTCCTCTCCGCTCAGCATCAAACCAACTCTCCACCAATCCCCCTCTTTGCTCTACTCAGTTTTTGTTTACTCCTTGATTCTCATCACCTCCTCCCTCCTTGCTTGTGCGGTTTTTATCAGCATCACATATGGGTTCATGTTTATGGTAATGACTTTCTTGCCTCCTTACTTTGCCCACAGCCTTGTCACATCATGTGCAGCACTTCGAGGGGCAGCGGAAAGAATGAAAGTACGCTCATTTAAATGAAAGACAGAACAGACATAAACACTTATCGGAGTTAAGTAAGTGTGTAGGAAGTGGCTGCTAGATATTTCAGTCATAGTGATTCAGCTGATTTGAAAGCAGCTCCTTTCAGTTGCATCTCAGCTCATGCTGAGGTGTCTCTCTGCTTCTGTTGTCTCTCTGTGGTGTCTGTCACTGAAGACAATATGAAGCTTCAGTCATCGCATCTTTTTACAGTGAACAGTCAGTCTGCTACAGTGGTAAACAGCTGCTGTGTGAACTCAAAGGTATCTAATATCATCTGATCATTAATACAACTTTTTCACAATATAGTCATAGATATGGAGCATTTAAACATCTTAACAGACTATAGGGGTTATGGTTAAATGTCCAGTCCCACCAGAAAGTGTCAGCAAAACTAGTCTCTTGCTGGAAGCTTGGTGATTTGACTTCTGCAGTGGCTACAGAAGGCTGTGGCTAGTTTTGTTTGCAGCCAGGTCACTCGCCAGAATAAATGTTGGCATTGTACATTTCTGCAAACCACGGATATTTTATATTTGTACGTTTCATATGTAGCAAATATTTTTGTCATGGCCCAGGCTGGGACTACAGTTTTTTCCCTTGTGTTTCCCCCTGTTTTCCCTGTGTCTCCTCCTCCTGTGTGTGGGTGTGTGTGTGTTGTGGGTGCGGCTACCTCGTCTGGCACCTGGTGAAACTCTTCACCTGCTCTCAATCACCTCATCAGCAACCTACTTAAGAATCCAGCTTTGCAGCCACTCAGCGCCAGATTGTTCAGCCAGCTATATGGTACTATATTGGCCACTCAATATTACCTGAGAAGTGTTTTTCCTGTGCAACCGTTTTCTGATATTGTTTCTCCTGTGCTCCAGGATTCCAGCGCCTTCCCCTCGGCATCTGCCATCTACAACTTCACTCCAGCTCATTCCTCCATCCGTTCACCCAGCTCATCTGCCTGCCTGTCCCCTGCCGCCATCAGCACCCCTCATCCCTTCCCCCGGTTCCTCAATAAATCTCCCTAACCTTCTACAAACTACCCGCTTTGTCCGTGTCTGCTTTTGGGTCCTAAATGACCGCTGTAACAATGTTTACGTTTCAGTTCTCAATTTCATGTTGTGAGAGCATTGTAGTTAACGTGTGGTTAGGTTTAGACCCAAAAAGCACTTGGTTAGGATTAGGAAAACATTATATTTTGGCCTAAGATACCCTGTTTGGTCGCTATAAACACTGTTAGACATGTCTCAAACTGTTGTTAAAAACACCTGCTTTGTTGTTGTCAAAGAGTGGTCTGATACTCAGCTGTTTCTTTCTCAGCTCAACATATCCTCATGCAACAGTTTGTATGATACCCTACAATTTAGTGCCCCATGAATGATGTTATGTCCGTAATGTAAAGTTATATAATTAACATAAAATTATGAAGATTAGGTTTAGGTGAGTAATGTAACTGTGGTTAGGTTTAGGAAAAGAAACATGGCACTGATGTACGTAACAATGACTCATAGTTCCAAACACCAGACTCCAGCTACCTTCTTAACTGCAGTGCATCGGTCACGTGATTGCAGTCTTCCCAAATATGTCTCACACAAATTACTGGCTCATGATCGCGTAGTACATGTACGAATTTTGGTGCATTACTTTTCATAGGAAACATACAAACAGTGCATGAGAACAGTCCGGTAATGTGAGCTATGTCATGCATATGAAACTTAAATATGTAACATATCCCTGGTTTGCAGAAATGTACAACATTTCATTCTGACGACTGAGCTGTTGCAACATCCGAAGAAGAAAGCTCCCACTGGTGCTGCTTTATATTCAGCAGAGCTTGATTGTATAAAATTGGATGCTACACCAAGCTAATAATATAGATTGACAAGACAGTTTGAATTAGTTGAACTTGGCTTACTATTAGCCTCCAGAAGCAAATTCTATGATCAGTTCAATTTAATTAAAATCAATTGATTTGTGATACTGGGATCTGTCGCACACAGTTATAGTATCCCGTCTCATTTTTCAGTCTGTTCTTACAGTGGTTTGAGCTCAGAGTTGTCTGGAGTGCATAGATTATGTTACAACCTGGCTCTTAGGCTCCAACAAAGAGTTTAAAGTTTATTCATTTACAAAATAATGATAATGGAATAAATCTGCATGTATGGGTGTGTAGAAATGTCTGTAGAAAAACCAAAAGAACAACAGCTGTGCAGTGAGGGAAGAGGGATATTGTGTTGGAAGGTGATGAGTTTTTATATCATGAAGCACACAAGGGCCCAGGTGTGGCTCATGAGACTAATGGCGACCCTCTGCCTTGACCTGCATCCTGTAGCTGAAAGAACAGACAGAAAAACAGGCACACCTATTGGAACGAAGGGGTGGTCACACTTACCTCATCCTTTAATGAATTTTAGTTCAAATTTAGTTGTGACAATAACTTTTGTGACAAGCCCTAACAGATGCAAAACGCTGACCACGTCGTCAGACAGAAATACAGCTGCATGCAGTGTGCTCTAAGGCCATTAACTGATTAGGGGAACTAATTAAGAAACAGTCTTAGTTTCAGGCTAACATGCAGACCAATTATAACTGCTGAGTAAATCACCTGCTTAAAGTCTCCCTCCACTCACAAATGTGCTTCGCTTGCAGTTTGTTCATTTGGTTGTTTGAGTTTCGCTGTGCAGAACGATGTATGTGCAGTTTTACATTGGATGCCTTTTCGCTGAAGGGGGAACTTTTTTTTTCTGTGCTCTTCTTAAATCTGAATTTAACACAAATTTAACAAGCGTGATGTGTAAACTCGAAACACCCAGTGCGCACACACTGAGAATTGATTCTCAGTAAAGTAGGAGACATCTTGTGTCCAGGAGTCAAACCTTTGAAATGAACCACGCAGTATTTGCATAATTAAGGATTATTGATTTATTCAATAGAGGAGAAGGAGTAGATTGTACATGAATGTTTTTGCGGGAAGAACACAACTGATTGCTTAAAGCAGGAGGTTGTCTTTAATAATAAAGAACAATTGACAGAATATCTCGCCTCAAGGTCTCCTTCCATCAGCAAAAGAGGGCACTTGAACCTCTGTACCTCTGCATGTGTCTAATGCACAGCCCCGCTCATGCTTATTGCATTTTGTTGCATCATACACTGTACAGATTGTACTGTAGAAAAGGACAGGACAAATCAGCTACCTGCTTTATGAATGAACTTGATGACCCTCAGCAGAAGCTTGTTAGGACAAAGATCCACACAGTTATCACAAAAACAGTACACTTATGCAACAGTGGATGCTACCTTAGATCTGACGACAATCTGATTCAGGTTAAAAGTGCACAGCATTTCATTTCCAATGTTCTCACTTCTAAGCTTGTGGAAATTCCCCAGTGAGTAAATAAAGAAGTCGCTGTGTGGATGAGGTGCGCACCCCCTGAACCATGAACTAAGGTCCTGCTTCTATTATCATGAGGCTGCGTTGATGAATCAGGGAGCTGAATGTAAAGGCACCCAGGGTGATTTAACAGCCGCCTTGCGTATTGATCCCTGTGGGGCGAAGGCGTTTTTTCAGTAATGACCATGGTGCTTCAGATGATAGTGGTGGTAATGGATGTGATGGTGAGGGGAAGGAGATATGTGGTAGGTGGCAGGTGAGGAAGAGGATGGTCATGATGAGGATGATGAGTAATGATGGTGATGAGGAAGGCTGCTGCAGTTAGGATGATAATGCCGTAGATGATGCGGCCAGGGTGGATGGCTTCGATAATGGTGCTGGCGTGGGGGAAATTATGCTCTTTGTATGTGTGTGTGTGTGTGTGTGTGTATGATTGCATGCATGGGAAGTGAAGGTGGTGTTAATGTTAAAGGATAAGAGGACAATGATGATGAGGATGATGATGGTGAATATGAATCCTCTGTGTGTGTGTGTGTGTGTGTGTGTGTGTGTGTTTCAGGAAGTGACGCTGAGCAGCCAGCCATCTGTCGGCAGATTAATCCTGGCTGTGCTTAGAGATATTACCGGCTGGCTTATTGCCGTGGCAACAAGCCTTCAATCCCAGTCCAGCGTAGCCACCATGTGACCTTGCTGAGGAAGGTGGGTGGGGGTTGGACACTCACATGCACGCGAGCACACACACACACACACACACACACACACACACAACATGGACACTCCATAATTTGGTGATATGGTGTGTGCGTGCATATACGGCATTTTGTTAGAACGCATAAAGTGTGCATTTAATGAAAGGGGAGTTTAAGAGGAAATATGACTGTGCTCACGCACACACACACACACACATGCATGCCTCGTCTCCTCTCATCAGTACTATGGTATAAAGGTTTTAATCCTGCTGAAAGGTTTCAGTGTCACCTATTGGGTTCAAAAATGTCGCCAACCAGCTGGGCTGCATGCAGCTCTCTGCAAATATTGTTTTCAGGCAGCTATATATAGCACTGTATCAATATGAATTGCAGCCACCTTTGTTCAGTTTCCCTCACATCACAGAGGGCTTTTTTATTTCCTAAATCCCATCACTGCCACGTGCTCAAAAAACCCTCCCACTCACGTTTTCTTTTCTTACACACATCACATTGTTCAAGAAACAATACATGCACATAATGCATGAACACACACGCTCACAGGTCATAAATCAGCAGACACGAGGCCACTCCAGGCTTGATGTAACATTCAAGGTTTTATTCAGTCTTTACGTACAGTACACCAGTCAGAAATATACAGTGAACCTTCAGCGAAGGTCCGTCAGGTACACCATAAAATCTGCAGTCGGAAAACGACAGAGTTTCAGATGAAGGTTACAAAGCGTGAGTGTGTTTGAAGTGTCTGTTTCTTCGTTTCTGTTTTTCAGTCCATGCTTTTACATCCGTGCAGATGTCACAGTAGAAGCTAAGCTTAAGAACGAAAGGTTTCTAGGGCTAAGATATTTAACTATTTTCCCTTTTTCTGATCCCTTAAATATTATCTCTTACTGTGTATTAAATATGATAAGATAGGATGCCAAATATTGGCTAAACTTGACGTTGCTCCCCCGCTCCCCTGACACGTCACCATTCACCCCTCTCATTGTAACATCTGGCTCCTCACCCAGTCGACATATAAGTGACCTGGTCTAAGATCACGAGGAGATAGTCTTGCCCCTTTTCCAATTAAAACTATGAATCAACAGTCTGCAAATTATTGAATTTTAGAGACACAGACTGAAGCTATCTCAGGTCATAATCTCACTTCCACGACCTGCTGGCAGGAGGTGGCTGCAGAGCTGGTGAGAGAGAGATGAGAGAGATGCACGGGCGTATTTGGTCAAATCCGGATGGTGGTTTAAATCCCACCCTGCCTGTATCTGCCACTCAGTGTAATTAGACGAAGTAATCACGATTGATATCATGACAGATTAGCGAGAGGTTAAGAGGTCCTTCTCTGAACCCTGAAATGGTTATAATCTAGCCTCTACAGTGCGGCGGCAGCACCAGTATCAGACAGGGCAGGAGGGAAGGGGGAGGAGGGAGCATTTTATTTCTAAAATGAAAATTGAAGCTGAACATCTGGATAAAAGGAGCTTTATAACTTACATTTTTTTCTCATTCGATTAAACATAGTAGAAAGCTTTTCATTTTAACGTCTAATTTTCAGTTTGAATGCAAAAACGATCACTTAATCGTTTAAATGTGATTAATCTTGGCCCATGAGTGCACGTATCTTTCAAAGTAATGCACCAAGTCAAGTTGGAAATCTTTTTTCTTTTTTTTAAACTATGGCTTTTTAGTTTGTAATAAGTACGAAGCCCTTAATGTATAAGAGGGGTGCTTCCAAAACTTGCTCGAGGGCCTCTAAGCAGCCCTTAGGATTGGCTACATAATTACTAAGTTAATCTAGCATCGTTTTGGCAGTAGAGTAATGTGGTAGCTTTGTGTTAATGAATGATGCAGCTCAATTACTTGCTGCATTCCTGAGGAATCAAATTGTTTGCTACTCATCTGCAGAACAAGGTCAGTGAAGGGTTTTAATGGAAATGATCTCATTACCTGCTGTTGCGGACATGGTTAGTAACAGTCAAGAGTTAACAGCTTGAGTTTTAAGGAGACCTGCTTTGCTACATGACCTGTGATATGTGGGGCAGCAGATGTGTGCTCAAGACAAGGGAATGTATCTGAATTCATGTTTTTGGTTAAGAGTCCGAAGTCATTAGCAGCAACAGGTAAAATAATCAGGCTTTGAGAGAATTGTCTTGGGTGGGCTTTACAGTACAAGGTTAGGATGGTCAATGGAAAGTATGCTGACATGTCGTGATACCATTTCTCTGAGAGCGTTCTTGTGTGTTAATGTAGAAACAGCATTTTTGTTTTTACTAGAAAAGATTTAAAAGATCAGCATTGTTGTCTTTCCTGAGTGTCACTGTACTGTTCTCTAACAAAGTGTCCATGAGGAGTTTCACTGAGGACTTAATTATATTTAACACATAAAGAGGCTGTAAATTGGAGGTTAATTACACATTGTGCTGGGGACTAAACCCTGGAATGTTCTGGCGTCTGGCATCTCATGGTGCCAGTCTTTAACCTGTATGCTTATATTCTTGTGTACCCTGTGTTTTACAGTAGACTGATTGGCTTATAATCATCTTCTACAGCAGATTATAAAGGTATATATTCATGTGCAAATTTCTTAAAGTAGAAGATTTACTGTATGGAGCGGTTTTCAGAATCTTTTGGGAGTTGAAACTGAGAGTGATAATCTTTAACAGGAAGTTTTAACATCACTGAGTTGTCTGCCTGGCTCTGTACCGTCTGAAGAACTGGTTAATTAATATACACACTTGGCATCAAGATGTAATAGCTTTGCTTCGTAGATTGGAGCTAAAAAAAAGTCTTTCTTTAAAGATTCTGCTGAAGAAAACATAGAAACATGCTTAGTCTAGCTGTTACACATGCAGATAAAAAATCTTTGAAATGAATGAAATTTTGCATATCACTTTGGCAAGGGAGGAAATATAACATATTTTTCTGCTAGTCTTATATTTCGACATTCTACCCTTGGTTTTACACATTGAAAAACTTTTTGTTCCTTTACATAGAAAAAAAAAACATCTTTGTTTTTTTTGATATGTCACTGCACAAAAAGAGCAACAGACAACAAAATGAACCCACAAGTCAAAAAGAGAAGCAAATGAGAAAAAAAAAAGTTGCATAATTAATTTCACATTGACAAATAGAAAAGTAGACTGTGGAGAGTAGTGGACTGTTGGAAGAACTGGGGCCTGCTTTTACTTTGGACAGTGGTGTACCCACTGAGTGTCTAACTGCAGGAGTCGTGAGTCACTAATGAACGCTGGATGAATGTAAACCGAAGAAGACCAGGACACATTTATGGCCCTCGACGTCCTCACGCTGTGTGTGTATGTTTCCGTCCTGAATGAAACCAGACATAACAACAGAATCCAAGAGGAGGAACTCACACCGTTCTTCTCACGTTCAAGACGTGGTTGTTTTTCCTAAAATGAATGTATGTTCAGCATGTGTGTATCTTCAAGCCACTAAAAATAGACCTCACACCAGCATTGACCTGTGCTCTGTGCAGATTAGATCAGTGCTGCAGCTCGCAGTGACTGCTTATAGTACAGGACATTGGCTTGGCCTTTAAGCTCAAGGTCAGCGTTTAAGCCTCCGCTAGAAGCACAAGCTCTCACTAACTGAGGGAAGCCATGACTCAACCTCTATTATTAGGCATTCTGGCGTGCCCTTTCAGCGTATTCGTCCTTCCTAGTGCGTACAGTAGACCGCGCCGATGCCATTGAGCCCCACAGAGATCCTCAGTCTAAATCTGGGGATAATCACCTGTAAGAATCATGGAGATTATGACAGTGGGAGTGAATGGAGAAACAGAAAATTGGGGGGGATTTCTTCTGCTACGTCAGCTGTTACAGTTGCTCCAGTGTATTCGTGGTGCTGTCAAGGTATTTCCAGAACAGCTGCAATGCTGCACTTGAACTATTAAAAATACATTTGCAATCAGGTGCAATTTATTTAGCATTTTTGTTGGGGTGAGCTAATTTTTTTGTATCTATTCTTAGCATATTGACCAGGGAGCTTTCCAAAGGCATTGTTAATAATGTAGGAAGTCGCTAATCGAAGCACAAGCAGATAAGGCAAGTTGCAGGGAAGAGGATACAACAGAATTTTAAATCACATAGATTCTTACAACGGTGTTTTCTTCACATTTTCAACAGTTAACGCTACTATCTAGTGGCAGAGGTTGAAAAGGTAGCACAATATATACTGTAGCTGCAGTTTGGTATAACATGTCTGCTAATGTGTTTATCCACAGTAGTCATACAAACGCCGTGTGAGTGGCAGTAGTGCACGGGTGGCCCCTGTAGGAGTCAAAGCCCCAAACGTGGCAGTGTTAAGCTGCTGCAGTGTTGAGCTATAAGGCCATTTAGTTTGCAGTGGAAGGGCTAAAGCTCAGACTACTGATCTGCTACAGTATGTTTAGACCAGCGTTAGATTTTTCCTTAGTTAGCTGATTACCAGAACACCAATATCTTAGTCTCTGCAACAGGATCAACAAAGATGAACCGCAGTGAGGAACAGGTGTGTGGGTGTGTGCTCATGTCAGTTAAATAACAACTTTTTCCTTCAAAGACGCCACATGAGGTCCACTGAACTGTCTCTATGTCTGGTTTCACAAGCTTGCAGTGTGAGAGCTCCCCGTTTTAAATTATGTACCGAGTGTGTCCGACAAAGCAGCCTTCGCGCTGCCAACTCGAGTTCCTTCAGTCTGCCACTCTCCCACTCGTCTGCATTAATCAAGGTGCAACACTCTCTGTCATCTTTATCATTTTTTTTTTCTTTCATGTCGTTCTTTTTCTCTTACAAGGCATGCATGCTGAAATCCAGTCAGGAAAAAGAAATGCAAAATGAAAACCACTGAGATTCAAAAAACACAACTGTCCCTAGCGAGTTACTACTCATCGGCTACACAGCTTGATCATTCAAGAAACATTGCATCATGTAAACATGCCTTTTTCAAATGGCTCGCAGGCCTTAATTGTCTGAAGCTGTGCAGCTGATTTCGAAGGAACCCAAGGCTCTCTGTAGAATATGCATGAAGACGCTTCGTTCTACACTTTGACTGCAATTAAATAACAATTGCAATGCAGGTTTCTACGAATAAAAAAGTCAGCTGCACAGCCTCAATTCAAAAACGAAGCTCACAAACTTGTCCCTCCCCACCCCCCGTACATGCCATGAATCAGTTCCTTCAGTGAGAAATGCTTTAAACTAAACAAAAAAATGAAAAAAAAAAAGACAGACAGTTTATACATTTGAAAAAAAAACAAAAAACAGCAACATGATGTCCCGACCAACCCGCACGCAAAGATAAATAAATCTATTTGGATATATTCTAAATGGATAAATAATATTACCATGATATACTCTACATAACTTTTCAACAATAATTAAATATCTCAAGGATGGCACCATCGCTTTCTCAAAAAAAAAAAAAGAAAAAGAAAAACATAACTCTGGTGATATATTTTATAAAATTTGTTTAAAGTTGTAATAAAGTGATCTGTTCCCTATACTCTACAAGTTCCCGTTCCCTTTTCTCTCCTCCCCTCTCTTTCTGTCTCTCCTTTGTCTCTCAGCACACTGGAATGCTGGAAGGAGGGAAGTTTGGTTTGTGCTTTAGGAGAGACTCGATGTTTACACGCTGTTTGTCCATTTGTTCATTAGTTCCTCTCCAAAGTTTACGCAGAGGGAGAGCAGTGAGAGTCATTACTGTCATCAGAAGCCCCTGGGGTCTATATAGCTGCCAACCGCGGAGCAGAGAGAGCGAGAGATAGGGGGGAGGAAAGAAAAAAAAAGTGTTTATGGTACTCGCTGTGTTTGTGTTAAAATCATCTTTTGCCAAGAGACAAAACATAAACATCGTCAGTCTTTTTCTCTTGGTTTTGGCTTGTGACGATGTTCCAACGGAGGCGAGGTTGACACTGATCAGAGGCAGCTCTTTCTCTCTTGGCTTCGGACAAACTCGAGTCTCCGGCGAGGAGAGGAAGTGAAAGAAAAACTCTCTTCTCTCCCTCCTCGGGTGTATCATATGCTTTTCCCAGAGTGTGATATTTCCCACCTACTCTCCCTCCCTTTACAAACTCGCCTTCGTTCTCTAGAGTCCGTTATGGCTTTGACAGTTCTTCCGCTCCTCTTTTAATGATGTTGCTGCTCATCCTCCCGATCCCATCCCCAAACTAGTCCTCCCTTTTTCATTGAGGCTGACACAATCCAGAAGTAAAGCACCATGGGATGCATCAAACGCCACCGTCATCTTCCAATATCCCCAAAGAATACAAAACAGCCTCTCATCTGCTCTCCTCTCCCTGCTCCTCATCGTCTCATCTCTAGTCCTTCCCTCTCCAGCCCCTTGAGGATTTAATTCCCCACTTTAGAAGAATTGAGGGGCAGAGAAGAAGTTAATTAGTTTAAAAAAGAAAGACAAAAGTATAAAATGGCAGTTGGAATATCTCCCCCATGAGACCAAAACGTGTTCATTTGCAGAACTGAACTTTTTGTCCTCCTTTATCGTCTCTCTATGCTTTTTTTTCTCATTTTCTTCTTCCCCTCCTCCTCCTCGACTCTCAAAGTCGTAGAGCCGGAGGTTTGGTCTTTTTACATTCTGTTTCACATCATCGCAGAGGAGGGGCCGTCTCCACTCCGTCTTCATTAAATTAAAATCATAATTAATTCATCCTCGCTCTTGCACATTCACCCCACACCTCCTCTTTTTTTTCTTCTCTTCATCATCAGACGTAGGCTGATTCGCTGGACTGCGTGCGTCCCAGGTTGGGCGGCTGGGACAGATGCGCCATGTCCTTCTTCCTGATCTCACAGATAGACTTCCTGCGGGCCTGGACGCCCCTGATGGCGGCCTTGATCTTGCGCCAGCCCAGATGGTTGAGCTCGGCCAGGTTGAGCACCACGCAGATGCCGCTCACCGCAAACATGAACACCAGGAAAACCGTTTTTTCTGTGGGACGGGACACGTAGCACTCCACCTCCTTCAGACATGGGTAGCGGTCACACTCGAAAATCCCAGGCACACTAAAGCCGTAAAGGAAATATTGGCCCGCCAAAAAGCCAATCTCCAATGCGTTTCTGAACACCACCTGAATGATGTAAAAGCGGGAGATCCCTTCTTGCCGGCGAACCTTGGAGCTCTTCCCGTGGGTGAGGCCCCGCGGGGCGTTGGGGATCTCCTTCACCTCCAGGCAGTCTGGTTCTTCTTTCCCTCCTCCACCATCACCACCATGTTGCACTAGAATTCCATTAATGTTGCGGAGCTTCCGCGCCCCGTCTCTTCCCCCGTAGTCCCTCTCCATTATGGGATAGAGAAAAGAGTAGCGCCGGTCTTTCTGCTTGGCTGACTGGTGGACGGAGTAGGTGATGAAGCAGAGGCTGGGCGTGCACACCAGTATGATCTGGAAGACCCAGTAGCGAATGTGGGAAATGGGGAAGGCCTTGTCATAGCAGGCCTGGTTGCAACCTGGCTGCAGAGTGTTGCAAATGAACATGGTTTGCTCGTCCTCGTACACAGTCTCACCCACAATGGCGACGATCAGGATACGGAAGATCACCACTACTGTCAGCAGGATCCTAGAGGAGAAAGAAAGAGATAAATGAGGTTAATAGTCGGAGACGCACAGTGATTTACTGTGCCAGGAAGGATGAGATGTCCTCAGATATCCTTCCCAGCAATGGTTTTACAGATGTGCTGAGTATGAAAGGACAGTGCGAGAAAGCAGAGAAGACGAATAACAGAGATAAGACAGCCAGAAAAAATGTAAATGTACAGAAGGAAGCTATTCAGTGGAGAAATTTAAATAATCAGCTTTGAAAAGAATAAAAATAGTGCAGCGTCAAAAATGTCTGTGTAAAAATACTCTCTGCACTATTATTAGTTTTTAAAAGCAAAACCTTAAACACCCAATGACACCTTCATTTAACACAAATCTGTAACAGTTACAGTACAGAGTAAATAAAGAGCAGCTCAGGGAGATATAGACCGAATCACTGTGACATTTCACACACTTTCAGGTTGACAACTGGTAATAAGATCTGAATTTGGCAAACTTTTGCTGTCTTTTTTAGCATAAATGTGATGTTTAAAGAAACATAATTAAACGCAATTGTCTGACCTGTCTGACGTTTCTGCTGAGCTTATTTTATGTATTGTGCTGCTCTGCTAGTGTTTTTGAGAAACCATATCTACCAGCAGAGGCTCAGCAATGTACAAAATGGATTTTAGCCTCGATCAATATCAGCTAAAGTGTACGCTATATTAGGAATATTGGGAATGTTTTACCTGACACACTAAAGCCCAGTTCAGACCAAAGCTGAGACATGCAATTAATTGCAGTTCACACCAATGCAACTAGATGAAATGGTGTATCATCTCTATGCAACAACTCTCTGTACTTCTGCTCTGTTTGCAGCTTTTCAGGCTTATTTTGTTGCTGAATATAATCTCTAGCTTCTTAAAATATGAATGAGGATAGTGATAGTGAGATACTGGCTACAGATGCATTTGTAGTGACGAAAAAAACAGGAACAAAATGAGCAACAGATGGACTGTATTTATAATTAATATGCCACAAAAACAAAAGTAAGCAGCGCCAATTAATCAGTCAGTGAGAATGTGTGTGTGGTTGGGCATAAGCACATACAGCGAGCAGCAGCAGTGGCCCACCGTCCGACATCGGCACACCGTGAGGATGGAAACAGAGGGCTCAGCGGGGACGGAGCACCTGCCGCACCAAGTGAACACACCATCTGCGGTCATTTTGACTTGACCGTTGGACTTCACTACAAGTTGATTATATGGTGAAACAGGTGATGAGCTTTTTGTTCTAAAACCAGCTGCTGGTGTTTTGATGGCATAAGTCAGCCAGTTCATACTGCTGCAACTTTTCTCTGCATCGTCTTTTTGCAAATCACTGGTCTGAACTGGGCTTAACTGATCGAGGCAGAGGTAGATCAGCAACTCCTGCATTCTTAAATGATGGTTTTTGTCAATGGAGTCTGGTGGACCTTTCTTAGTTGGCTAAAAACTACCCAACTGAGGGCGCATCTGCTCTGTGACATTTCATTTTATGCATGTGATGCTGGGATTTTCTACGCAGAAGTTACTGTAAACAATTTTATTTAAAGCGTGCTATCATGTTAGCTGCTTGCCTATGTCACAAAGATGCACGGATGAAATTAACCGTACCACTTACCACTGGTATGTGTGGGCGTATTTATGAGCAACATTACAAATGGAGCACAGTAGAATTTATTTGCCCTCCATCATTCTTTTATGAGAAATATGTTTAAATATGTTAAACATGCGACTAATATGAGAACTAAACAGAGAAGTGGAATGTAGGCAAGAGTTAAAAGGAAGGCGAAGCAAATTGCACCTCTCGACTCGCCTTAAAAACTGTACATGAAAGGGCTGGAGAATTAGGAAGGAAATTCAAGAAAGGATACAAAGCATGAATAAAAAAAGTCAGAATCAAGGTCGAGTGGAGGGATTTGAAGTTGTAATCACGGCAGGGAGCCTCACGAAGGACTTTGAACTCCTTAATTAGAAAAGAGAGGTGAGAGAGAGGCTGCAGAGGCAGAGAAAAGAGAGAAGACTGCACTAATGATGGAGAGGGACATTGTGTCACTGTTAAGTCACTGTTCCTTCTGATAAGAGCCAGAGAAGAAGAGTGCTCAAAATCCCATTTATCAGCCAGAGTAAACACTCCAGAAGAAGAAGAACGGTTGTGAGCGGAGCCTCGATGTGTCGTCAGCGCCCATAACTCACGGCCTGTCATCAGCGGTTCGAGACGCAGTAGGTGTGTGTTGTGAGGGTGTTTACAGGTAAAAGGAGGTGAGATCTGGTCTAATTTTAGTGTCTTCTGCATCATTAGGCACAGTTACCATGGCAACCTTGGATTAGACTCACTTAAATTGGAGCTGTGATCAGTTTCTACACACACACACACGATCGTACAGCGTAATCTGTCCGTTGTTAACTTTGTTATTAGCACAGATGTACTCTACTTTCACCGCCCTGGCAACAGGTGACACTGAGGTGAAGGCTGTTTGCAGATTAGGTGTTATTTCTGCGTGTGGTGAGACAGAGAGATTATTGTTGCTGAAATTAGGTTCACTTCAATTCTCTTTGTGTGCGTGTGTGCATGCTAACGTGCGTCTATTTAAGCGTACAGATGTGCTGACTTGGCATTTCTGTACTCTTCGTGTGTCTGTGTGCTTCATGAGTTGGACTCACACGTTCCAGTTCCTCCCCCCTCCTTTCTTTCAGACATCCCTCTCTTTGTTCTATTCTTACTTTACTCATCCCTCATTTATTTTTCAGATCTGAGACCAAGCAAGCACTTTAGATAGCAGACTTTTTGCCTTTCGCTGTGTGTGCCAGCCTGTTGGCTGTCTCACGCTGTAATCTGTGACTCAAGTCTGGAACGCGGCTGCAGAGCGCAGACAGGCCTGGACATTGTTAATCTGTTGATTGATTGCTGCCTTTTAGTTTAGTCCCATAGATAACGAGTTCTGCATACTGTAAGATCAGCTCTCACTAATCACCGCCATTTATAATAACGATAATCCCATAAATAACGCTATGATAAATCGCTGTCCTTGCTTCACGTGAACCCACAGTAGACACCATTATGGTAGCGCATCAAAACCTGACCTCATTACATTCATCACGGATTTATGGGCTTTTATACAAGAGCATGCAAGTCAATAGATTGTGACGTATAAAAATGGCTTTGGAGGCAGTGTTAATGGGCAGTACAGCATGCTGCAGGAAGAGTCACTAATTCCTTAGAAAATGTCATTTCAATTTAAACATACTGTAAGCACCTCTCCGATTTCAGTGGTAAAACGTAACAAAGGTTGTGATATTGTAACCCCAGTTCTACTAGCACAGGCAGAGCCCTCTGCTAGATGTGAATTTGCATTTCCTAGGTTAACAAGGATATTACCTGCCCTACCCTCCTTATGACTAGCTAGCACCTGTTGCCTTCGATGGTTGGATTGGTTAGTAGGTTTAGTCAAAAGGAGTAAAACTGGTTAGGGTTGGGGTAAAAGTGTCAGAGGCAGAGTAAGGCGCACCATTCCTTCACTATCCTGGACTCTATGGGTAAATCTTCCAATCACAAGTGTGCATTCACCCACTAAAATTTGCATACACATAGCTGGCTAATCGTAATACACAATATATGCGGAGCCCACATTATATGAAGGAGCCATATGACAGCATCAGCATGCTACACCCTCTTCAGTGAGTGGCGTAGGAGCGACAGGGGCCCTAGGTAGAGGGATTGTCTGTGCTAAGGGTTACAATATCGTAACCTTTGTTCTATCTCACACAGGCTCCGCCCTCTACTGGACTCTATGGGCACAGTGGGTGGAGCCCAATAAATGAACACCCTATTGTAATACAACATCGACCCAGCCACACTGATCCTAACCAGCTAAAGGTTAGTCACTGTAGCCTGTCTACTTCTTTACAACTTAGGCCGCCACAGTGGAGACATAGTGGGTCCCAGCCAACCCAGGTGGTGAGCAACCAAACGGGGTGGAGTTGTGGCCTAACTTTGCAGGGGTCGAAAGACAAGCAATAGTCACCCTGCACACCACATATCACATGTCATGAGGGAGCACAGGAACATGTTGGTAGGGAGGAGTGAGTACACCATCTGTATCTGTACTCAGTCAGAATGGGCGGAGTTTATGCCAGAAATTGAAATCAAAAGTGGCTCGGGCCTAAACGAAGTTGTTATTTTAAGCCTGAAATTTATATGAATGAATGAGAAGTTGCAATATTTACTACCTACTAGAAATGTATTTACAGAACAGCCTCAAAATGAAGATCTCTAGGCAATTTTTTTTTTATCACAAGACTAACAGATTAAACAAAGTTACTCAAATGAGGATTTTCATTTATCATGAGTACAGATAATGACACATTCTATTCATATGATAGTCGTACTCTTAAAAAGTACATTATCTGTACTGGATACTCGTTTCATCCGAGTATTTGGCCCAACCCTAAACGTTGATGTATCACGCTCAGAGTTTAATCAGGTGCAACACAGCTGACATACATCCAAACACTGCCACTAGTCCTGTGTCATTCTAGTGAGCACAGACATGAAAAGGAGCCTGACAGGAGGGCTGCTGTATATACTGTGGGCTCCGCACATATTAGAGTAGGCACATCCTGATTGGCTGCATTTATGCAAATTTCAGTGGGTGAATGAGTGCTTGTGATTAAAGGAGAGTATTACCCATAGAGTCCAGTAAAGGGCAGCTGTGTGAGATAGAACTGCCACACCAGTTTTACATATATAACATGTATTGGTGTCTGAAAGGACTCCAGGTCTGCGTAAGTGTAAGACATTTTCTACACAGCTCAAGTACGAATAACGAGGAAACATTGCCACTTAAGGACAGATACAGTACAGGCCAAAAGTTTGGACACACCTTCTCATTCAATGCGTTTTCTTTATTTTCATGACTATTTACATTGTAGATTCTCACTGAAGGCATCAAAACTATGAATGAACACATGTGGAGTTATGTACTTAACAAAAAAAGGT